ATCAGGAGCTGGCCACGTCTCCAGTGACCGTGGAGGTGTGAGAAAAAGGGGAGGATTACATCTTTCTGGTTACCTGTCCACGTTGCTGTGTGGATACAACACTACATGCCAAAAGTTCAAATGACTGCATTTGACCAGGCCAGCTGACAGTTCGCCTAGGCCGTCTGTCTCCTCCCTTGCTGCTTTCAGTAGGTTCTCCCAGTCCATGGTCCACCCTCTTCTCTCTCTTCCACTGTGAAGTTCCAGGCTTAGCCTCTCTCTCTGTCTCATGTGGTCTCTGGCCCCTTCCTTGTACAGGGTCTGGGGAGTGTGTCTGCCCAGTCTGCCATCTTGCTGGAAGTCTGTTGTTTTCAATTCTACTGTCCATGAGCTTTTTGAAGCCCCCTTGCATATGTTAGGATCGTTTTGAACGATTGGATCAAAGACCATGCATGTTCTAAAACTATGGTGTGCATTGCCAAAATGCTTCCCAGAAAGGCTGCACTTAATCCATATTCCCTTTTTAATGTGAGTGCCCATCTCTGCACACTGCACTAACACCAAGTTTATCTTTAAAATTAAAAAAGCTCTTCGTTTGGGTTTGGGTTTGCCTCTCCTTCTCTCCCTTTCTCATCCACCAGTATTTGATGAACTTCATTAACCAAGGGCCAGCAGGCTATGGAGACTTCTGTGCCGAGCGCCTGAGACGGACCTATGCCAATGGGGTGCGCCTGGAACCCCCCACCTGGCTGGAGCTACAGGCAAGTGCCAGCAGGGGAGGATCCCAGGCAATATAGGTACCTTCTCCTGGGTGAGATCTTCAGTCCTGGGTCAGAGGCCGCAGGGTGATTCTTGCTGCGCCATCTCCTGGCTTCTCACCACCCAGCCCAGTCTCCCTACTCCCTTTCAGTTACCTGCTTGGTTTATAAGTCGTGGAATGATAGGCAGCAGCTATGTGAGTATGTTCAATTTCATTGACCTCAAAGCGTTCCAGATTACTGGCCTCAGAGATTTTAGAGAGCTCTTCTGACCGGGTGTGAGGCTAAGTCTCAACCTTGCCAGTGCTCAGAGCTCTGATCTAAAGTGGGCCAGCTTGCCTGCTGGCTGCACTCCTGGAGCTGCTGGGAAAGGGGATTGGTAGCTTCGGGAAACAAACAGATTACAGGCATGTAAGAGGAAGGTGGTGCTGACCCTGCTGTGGCTATCTGGTCAGGCAGCACATGCCAGTGGGGTCTCGCTGGTAACTCCAGCGGTGCCCTGTGGCTGACACTTGGACTTCAGAGGGGTCCAGGCCGCAGGAAATGTGAAGACAGCAGAGGGAGCAGTGGATTTGGGACAAGTGTATAGGCGAGGTAGGACTATTGTGGTTACTCTGGAGTTCAGGAACTCAGGAGCCAAGGGAGCATGTCTGAGCAGTAGCCAAACCCAAGGGGCAGAGGGCGCTGAGTCTCCATCTGTCACCCAGGCTGTCAAGACCAAGAAGCACATCCCAGTCAATGTCATCTTGGTGATGGGAGAGAGCGTGACCATCACAGTGGACTCGGCCTCCACAGCGAAGGAAGTCTGCCAGCACATCGCCCAGAAACGGGGCCTCCGTGACCACCTGGGCTTTTCCCTGCATATGGCTGTGTACAACAAGGTACTTCCCAGGAGTCCTGGCCATGCGCCACCCGCCCTCACACACCCAGGCCCCCAGGACCACCAGCCCGCCACACCCCTGTGCATTCGCAAGCACGCCAGGAGACATCATCAGGCTGGGTCCCGATTGAGAAGTCAGGGTCTCCCTGTACCTTCCCACAGGTGTACCAAGTTGACACCCACCCTCACCGTGGTATCCACAGACTTACAAACCCTACTGAGTCAACTTCCACTGACAGGTTCAGACGCCCGTCTCTCTCACACTGTCAGGTGGGGAGGGTCTTTAGCAACATGTCTAGATCCCACCCGGCGGCCCACCTGTTTTCCCCTACCTGCACTGTGAACACCTCAGACAGACACACTCCTACCAACCAACCAACCAGTCTCCCTGCCCCTTCACCTCAGCCAGACTCACCCTGTGCTGCCAGTACGAAACCTGTCCGCATCCACTCACAGGCAGTGGTTGCAAACCCACGCTGAGCTCGGTGTCCCTGCCCTCCAGGAGCAGCCTGTTGCTCGTGAGCACCTTCTATGTCCATGTGCAGAGGGCGTGGCTCCCTGGGCTGTCAGCTCCCAGCAGCCCCTAGCCCCTGTCTGGTTCTGCCCTCAGTTTTGGTCCCTGGGCAGTGGGCACGACCACGTGATGGATGCCGTCGCCCAGTGCGAGCAGCTGGCTCGAGAGCGGGGCGAGAGTGAATGTCAGTCTCCCTGGCGCATCTACCTCCGGAAGGAGTTCTTCACCCCCTGGCACGACTCCAGCGAGGACCCTGTCAGCACCAAGCTCATTTACCGCCAAGTCCTCCACGGAGTGTGGTCCGGCGAGTACAGCTTCGAAAGAGTGAGGGGCCGCAGAGAGAACGGGGTTCTGGGACAGGGAGTCTCTGGTGGGGGCTCCCATTGGACCGCAAAGGTGCAGGAGAACAGAATGCAACGGGGCTGAAGGGAGGAGGTCAGGAAAACCCAGGGCAGAGCCTGGGGCCAAGGAAGACAGCCTCCCCTCCAGGCCTGGTCTCTGCCCTCCCCCCTTGAACCAACATCTGCCAGGTCTACAGTGTCCATTCAATCAGCAGCACACGAGAAGTTCCCACGGTTGGGCCCAGGTCTAGCTGGCAGCCCCATAGCAGCTGTTTATCAGGCAGTGAGACCCGATGGTCTCCTGGCGAGGCCTGAGTCCAGGTTCCACTTCTGCTGCTTCTGGACGGTAGGACCTCAGCCAGTCACCTCTCTGAGCCTCCGGCCCAGATCTGGAAAGAGCCGAGAGGGACACCACCTACTGAGGAAGACAGTTGTGGCCCTAGAGACTGCTCCTGAGACCCTGAGAGCAGTCCTGCAGTTGTTCAGCTGGTACAAAACTCCCTGGACTCGAGTTGGGAGAAAGCCCCTCTGGTGGCTGGAGGCTGGGCCAACTCCAGCTCCAGGGTCACCAGTCCTCCAAGCAGAGGGGGACGGTGGGGACGGGGGGTGCAGTACAAGACTAGAGAGGCAGAGAGCCTGAGAGGCCAGGGGCCCACCATCCAGTCAGCTAGTGGCTCTGCAAGTCTTTGGTCTCCCAGAATCCCATCGACTTACGATGTCACGGCAGAAGCTCAATGAAACTGAGACCTTATTCATATTTACCCTGCTGATAGTAGCAAACCGGAGTTCCACCTAAGCCTTTGAGCCCCCCCACTGCTCCCTGACTCTCCAAGAGAAGGGGTCTCCCCTGTCATTGGTCTGCCAACCAGAGTGCCACCTGCACTGGGCCTAGTCTAGGCACATGATGGTTTTGCTCAGGGAGGGGCAGGTCCCACCCAACAGACCAGTGGTCACTGGAGCCACTTGTCAGGTTTGCTGGGGGTGCGGGAGGGGAGCTTGGGTGCGATGCAGGGCGGGGTCCTCATGGAGGGGGGCCCCAGCTGTCCTCACTGGCCACTCCTGCCTGCGGGCTGTGCAGGAGGAAGACCTGCTGGGGCTCCTGGCTCGGCACTGCTATGTGCAGCTTGGCAGCGGCACCTCGACCGGGAATGCGGCCATCCAGGAACTGCTGCCCACCTGCGTCCCCACCAAGCTGTACAGGAGCAAGCCCCCCGAGCAGTGGACTAGCCTCATTGCGGCTACCCTGGCCAAGGTCAGCCCTCGCACAGCCTGGGTCCTCTTGGGGGACGGGGCAGGGATGAGTGTCCACCCCTGCGACATGAGTGGACAGAGGGTGGATCCCCTCTGTCTCCACACCTGACCTTCCCCATGGACCCCCAGACCCCCAGGTAACAGGACCATTGAATCCACTATTAGGGACATCCCACTACCACCCACCCGCCATCATTCTTCCTTTCGAGTGAATCTGGGTGTGGGCTAGGCAGCCCCTCTCTGTGCCTGCCCCCCCTGCAGCATTGGGCTGACCTTGGCCTTTTGACCTATAAGAAAGAACACCCACAGCAACTGACCGCTTGGCCTTAGCATTGAAGCCTTCTGTTTTCTGACCCCTGGCCTCCCCCAGCCCTTGTACAGCTCCTCCCGGTCCCTGTTCTTGCTGTACTGATCTGAAGAGCAGCAAGGTGGCCCTGATGTGTCGATCACGCTGGGCCCACTCCCACCCATGAACATACCTCTGGGGTTGGAACAGACTCAAAGGCAGGGAGTGGCCTTAGGACAGCGCTCCCCGGGAGCTCACCACCGCCCTGCCCTATGACAGCATTCTCAGACTCACAAGGGCTGCTGTGCTTCATGAAGTCTCACCCCGGGACCTCGGGACCCAGGGACCCCGGGACGGGGCAACCAACCCAGGCGGATTTCCCAGCAGCCTGGCCCGGATTTCCCAGCAGCCTGGCCTGCATCCCTCCACTCCTCTGTGGGCGTGGTCTTCCTCTGAGTGGTCTGGGGGACACGGCTGTCTTGGGCATCCAGGCCCAGCCGATGCAGCTGCTGCAGGACAACTGCACACATGCGGGCAGCGAGGGTAAAAGCTTAGAGGTCATGACCCCGGTGACACTAGAGACCAAGGACAAGACAAGGAATCAGAAGGCTTGTCAGTGTACAAAAGATAAATGCCAGGAAGACGATGCGGACAGCAGGTGCCATTCGAGCCCAGAGAAAGGCAGGGGGATGGCCATGGGCAATAGTCTCCACTTGGTCATCCTAGAGAGGGAAGTTCCTGAAATCCCCGGGGCCTGAGAAATGCTGCCAGTCCGTTCTGGGCTCCTAGCAAGTCACACTGAAAGCTCAGAGAGGACCTGCAGCAAAGAGCCCCAGTGGCTTTGTCCTGTCACCGTCCCACAGTGTGCTTGACCACACACCTCGGGCCGAAGGGGCTCAGTCACAGCCCCTGGGAGCGACTTGACAAGAGGGTTACAGGGAAGCCGAGCTCTCTTGCTGTCCGGCCTGAGCAATTGCGATTTCAGGAGAGGGACCACGGATGGCAGGCGGGGAGGGAGTGGGGGAGTGTCAGGGAACAGATACGCACATGAGAACAAGTAACTTGGGGAGGTGGAAGGTAAAGAATTGTGAAATGTTCACCCACCCCTTCACTTTCCAAAGTGAGCATCACTTCGCTTCTTATTAAACATTGAAAACACGCTAAATCACAAAATTACACACAGATACAAGGACAAATGGGACCTGACTGATAATAACACAGTAAAGAGATCATCACTTTGTAGTATGTATCATCCCCGCCGACTGCTTTCTGGTCATCAGTATACAACTGAGATATGGGTAGGAGCGTTTTCTTAGAGCGAAAGAGCGATAACTATACTTCATGATAGAGACCACCCTGACATATCCAATCTGCTCTCTCAGCTAATCAGATAACACAGGACACTCCCACTTAGGTCACCCACTACCAACTCTCTCCTCCTTCTGAATGGCTGCGTGGGACATCATTGCAGTAATGAACCATAATTTACTTCGCTGATTTCTATCAATAATATTAAAATTATCCCCCATTTTCCATTCCTAAAACAATTGAGTCGCTTGTATGCACTTGCTGGTTATTTCATTGAGGTAAAGTCAGCGAAGTGAGATTACTGGATCACATGTGATTCCTCATTTCATTAATAGTCCCAAACCACTCTTCAGAGAGTTTTGCACTTACAGTCCCCAAACCAGCATATCCATGTTTCAAAGTAGAAACAAGGCAAATACCATCTTGTTTTACAAACAAGCAGTAAAAAGAAAGCTGCGTTGTATGTCATAGCCAGTCTGGGGCAGATCAAGGAGGCGAGGAAGGCGTGAGGATGGCAGAACAAGGCGAGAAAAGAGACTTGAAACCAGGGACCGAGCAGGGGCGGATGGAGAGGAAGGCACCAGGTCCTTGAGAAACTCGTGCAGAGAAGCAGATGCCAGTGAAGACAAGAGAAAACCAGTGACACGGAGCTAGACACACCCCTAAGGCCTATGTGTATAGGCAGGGGCGAGGACAAGCACACAGACGAGTATCACAGGCATGCGCATGTGCAGACATACACACTGGCATATGCACAGACACATGCACACGCACATGCGCATTTTGAAAACATACACAACACAAACCCACACACACAGATGCACAGATTCAAACATACAACATGCACATGAACGGGTGTACACGTAGATGTGGAAGACACACATGTGTACACGTTCAGGACACATGGACACACACATGCATTGCACCCATGGAGACATTCATGTACAGTAGTGCATACACAGTCTCTGTGCTGAGACACAAAGAGCAATGGCCTGACCCTGTTACGATTTTGCATCCAGGCATAAAGCCTTCCTCCCTTCTCCAAACCACTTCATGAAGGGTCCTCACCCGGAGGGAAGACGGGCCTGGAGCTACCCCACCAGAGCTTCTCTGGCCTCCTGCGGGAAACTGAAGGATTTCTCCCAAGTCATCTCCCCCAAATATGTTAGATTTAGGACACTCCTTGCAACTAAATAATTGTCAAGTTACTTCCCTGTAGGTAGTCAGCTGCCAGACTACTGTCTAGTCCCACCACGGGTTGGCCTGCTCCCTGCTGCTAAGGACAACAAGCTACTTCTCCCTAAAGGCTTGGTTCCTGTAGGTGGGCTTCACACCCTACTGATAATGGTTTCTATGGAGATCCAGAGAACAGATCAAACCGTCTCAGTGACATCCAAAGTTAGGCTGCCATCCTGAATCTAGGATCGCACACTTTGCCACATGTATACGCCCCAATCCCCCCTCTTCCTATTGCGTGGATATCCCTAGATCACCCCACTTCCCATTACTGTATTACCTATAGCACAACCCTTTCCTGTGACTTATGTCTTCACCTGTAATTAGGGGCCTTGCATGTCCCAAGAGAATATAAAAGCCATGGTTAGCATTAGATATCTCTCCACGTGGACCACCAAGTGAGGCTGAGGTGAGCATTACTACCATGAAATGTGTCTGACTCCATTATTTCTCTCTCTTCTATCTCTCATGCTCTTTATGACTTTACTATAATCTTTACTTATTGGTGCTTTACAATTGTGCCTACCGACCCGTGATGATGTGTTAGGGGCTGGATTCCCCTCACAGGCCCCAACCTTCAGCAGACATGTGTGACCCAAGGGAGAAGCAGGATGTTTATCATTTAAACATCCTGGACCCTGAGTGAGGGGTCAGGACAGGGTGGGGCAGCGATTTGCACCGGCAGGCATGATGTGGAACGGGCAGGGTACCATCCGTGGAGGTGACCCTGGTATCCCCAGCCCTGGCTCTCCCTCACTCAGGCACCGTACGCCCAGAAGCAGGCAGCAACACTGGCAGTGAAGGAACAGGTCGTGGACATGGCCCGCCTGCAGTGGCCGCTGCTCTTCTCCCGGCTGTTTGAAGTCACCACACTATCTGGTAATGGCGCCTGGGAAGCTGGGAAATCCTGGGCCCTGGGGCCAAGCCAGGCTTGACACCACCTCTCCCCCTCCCAGGCCCTCGGCTGCCCAAGACTCAGCTGATCCTCGCTGTTAACTGGAAGGGGCTATGCTTCCTGGACCAGAAGGAGAAGGTGCTTCTAGAACTCTCCTTCCCAGAGGTCACAGGCCTGGTTACCAACAGGTAGGTTCCCTGAGGGAAGATGCCCCAGATCGCAACCTTTGTCCTTGAAACGAAACGTCTGGGGTGCTCAGGGAGAGACAGGAGTGAAATGACTCCTTGTCCCTATGAGCCTGTTGAGGCGGGTAGAACAAAGATCAACAGGTATCATTGGGCAGTTGTTTGAATGTGGAATTGTCACTTACACCCCATTATTGATTCTGTTGGGGACCTCTGGAAGTGAGCCCATTAAGCTTGCAGCACCCTTGTTGGTGCACGTTTGTTGAGCAGGCCCCTTCCCTCTTCTTCATACGTGCATGGGTGTTGAGCACCAGGCTGCTAACCACAGGTCAAAGGTTCAAACTCACCAGCCACTCCATAGGAGAGGAATGAGGCTATCTGTTCTCATCAACATTGGTCGTCTAAGGAACACTGTGGAGCAGTTCTCCTGTGTCCTGCAGCATCACTGGGAGTTACAAACAACTCAAGAACAGTGGGTTTCCCTCTTCGTGGTCACAAACGATTCACATGGAGAGTCTGGCTCTCCTGGGGAACGGAGACACTAGACCTTGGGTGTGTGCAGGCTCGAGGTGGGGCTGCCTCTTGATACACACAATTCCTCACCCAAGAGCTTTCATGGCTCTCATCTACTGAGACCACCTCCGAGCCTTTGGGAGTGCCCTGCCTGCACCCTGCTACTGCCCCCTCTTGGCTAAAGCATGTTACCATTACCATCTCATCGCCTGGGCCACCCTAAGCTGAGGCTGGCTATGTGCTGGGCACTTCCATGTATACTGTGAAAACTTACAGCACCCTCATTCTGCAGATGAGTAAACCGAGGCACGGGCTCGGCAGCTCGCTTGAGGCCCCAGGACCAGCACAAGGCAAAGCAGGGGGCCGTCTCAGCTCTCATGCTTGGGTACTGCCCTCTAGTGGCCACAGACTCCCTGCCACCTCCCCACTGCCCCAGAGCTGACCTTCACATGCTGGGACTGGGTGTCTCTACTACCTTTTTTTTTTTCTTAAGTCATTTTATTGGGGGCTCGTACAACTCTTATCACAGTCCATCCATCCATCCATAGTGTCAAGCACATTTGTGCATATATTGCCATCATCATTTTCAAAGCATTTTCTTTCTACTTGAACCCTTGGTATCAGCTCCTCATTTTTCCCCTCCCTCTCCCTCCCTCCCTATGAACCCTTGATAATTTATAAATTATTATTTTCATGTCTTACACTATCCGATGTCTCCCTTTATGTGGGGAGAAGAGAGGTCCCCCACAAATCATCACAGGTCCGGTAGGCGCAATTGTACAGCGATAATAAGTAAAGATTATAGTAAAGTCACAGAGAGCATGAGAGGTAGAGGAGAGATTTAATTAATGGAGTCAGACACATTTCATGGTAGCATTGCTCACTTCAGCCCCTCTTGGTGATCCACATGGGGGGAGCCCAGCCACGAGGGTAGGAGAGAGCCTCAGGAGCGAGAGCAGGAGAGCCCAGGGAGCGAAGACTGGGGAGAGCCTCCACTTTATTGCTAATCAAAGGTTATATATTATTAGGGGGACATGATTACAGGTAACCACACGTCATAGGAAGGGGCAGTACAATAGGCATACACATTGTAGGAAGGGGATGTATGATAGGCATAAGCGTGACAGGAAGGGGATGAGCTAGGGGTGTGCCCTTAGGAATGGGAAGGTCTAGGGGTATGCATGTGGCAAGATGGGTGGACCCTAGACTCATGATGGCAGCCTAACCTTGGTCATCCTTGGGTGGGCTTGACCTCTCTGGGGTCTCCTACAAGGAAACAGACAACTACTATCCTTTTCAGAAGGGAGTGGGCCCTACTTGTGGGATAAACATTGGTGTCTGCTTGTTCTAGATGGCTGATAGCTCTTAGGGAGAATAATCCCTGATCTACTTCTGATGACCACCAAGTGTATAGTCATTCACAAGCAGCTAAGTTTGGCATATATTTGGGGGAGACAACTTGGGAGAAATCCTTCTGTTTCCCACACCTTTACCCCCTTGTCTCTTGTCCATACCCCTTGGAGAGGGGTATGGGTAGGACATTGTGATCGGTTCCCGATTTCTCCCCACACCTTTCCCTTCCCCTCCTGCTATGGCTACTCTCAATATTGGTCCCAAGGAGTTTATCTGTCCTGGATTCCCTGTGTTTCCAGCTCTTATCTGTACCCATGTACATGCTCTTGTCTAGCCATATATGTAAGATAGAATTAGGGTCATGATAGTAAGGGGGAGGAAGCATTAAAGAACCAGAGGAAAGCTGTATGTTTCATCAGTGCTATACTGCACCCTGACAGGTGCGTCTTTTCCCCACGACCCTTCTGTAACGGGATGTCCAATTGCTTACAGATTGGCTTTGGGCCTCCTTTCCACACTCCACCACCACCCCCTCATTCACATTATGATTTTTTGCTCTGGGTCTTTGATGCCTGATACCTAATCCCATCGACACCTCATGATTACACAGGCTGGTATGCTTCTTCTATGTGGGCTTTGTTGCTTCTCAGCTTGTTTATCTTCAAGCTTTTAAGACCCAAGATGCTCTATCTTTTGATAGCCAAGCACCTTCAACTTTTTTCACCACATTTGCTTATGTACCCACTTTGTCTGCAGGGAATGTGTCGGGAAGGTGAGCATCTCAGAGTGCTGGATTATTAGAACAAAGTGTTCTTGTGTTGAGAGAGTACTTGAGTAGAGGCCCAATGTCCATCTGCTTTCTTAATACTAAACCTATAAATATATGTATATAGATCTATTTCCCCATCGTCATATATAAATATATTTACATATGTTCATGCCTGTATTTAGATCTCTATAAATTTCCTTTGCCTCCTAGTTCTTTCCTCTATTTCCTTTTACTTTTCTCTTGTCCCACTATCATGTTCATTTGGGTTTCAGTAATTCCTCTTGGTTACATTGCCCTTGATCAAGCCCTACCAGACCTCCTACAGTCTGCTCGCCATCGATTTTCAGTCACTTGTTGTTCCCTTGTCCCTAAGTTTACCACCCACTTCCCCTTCCCTCCCCCTCCTACCCCTCTCCCATGTCCCCCCAGACCTGTCGTCCTGTTGTTCTCTCTTCTGGCTTGTTTATCCTGCATATCCCATCCAGATAGACATGCAGAGACAACAATTTGCACAAACACAAGACCAAGCAAAACAAAGCGACAATAGAAAATACAACAATAGCTACAACAACAAAGCCAATGACAAAAAAAAAGAAAGAAAGAAAAGCCTATAAATAGTTCAAGGTCTGTTTGTAGTCCTTTAAGAGTGTTTTCCTGCCGAGTCTGACTACCTTTTAATTCAGAACCCAGGTCATAATCCCCTCAGAGCTGGCAGACCTAGGTGCAAACGCCCCTGTCAGGTTTGGGCTCTGACACTGGCGCTGGTCCTGGCGAATGACTACCTCTCATCTGTAGGTCCAGGGAGCCCTCCCCTCTGTGGCCTGTAAGGGGCCGAAGCAGGGGAGGGTGGAGGCCTCTGCTCATGCACCTCGTGTTCCCTTAGGGCAGCACGGGGCCAGCAGAGTCTGAGACTCTCCACACTGCATGAAGAAGAATATGAGTTTGCAACCCCCAGCTGCGTGGCCATCGCAGAGATGGTGGCCATGTTCCTGGAGGGCCTGAAGGAGAGGTCCACGTTCGCCATGGCCTTGCAAGACAGGAAAGCTACAGGTGCCTGGCTGGGAGTGCGGCGGGGGTGGGAGGTGGGGGCAGAGGGGCAGGGGGAGGCTTGGGACAGTTCATAGGAAGTTGTCAGGATGGGGACGCTGAGCAAGGGGGGTTCCAGGCCACTATGGTGGGCAGCTTAAGGAGGGATCTGTCCTCCTTTCAGCTACTTTCATTTCTGCAGAATGAGGGGCTCTGAAAAGGATCGACGTTGGCTCAGAGCATGGAGCCGGGTTGTGTTGTAACCCCTACAGCCCAGTGAGAAGGCTGGCTGAGCCCTGTGCTTTCCTGAGCCTCACTTTAGCCAGCTCTCGGTCATGCAGCTAGGAGGGCTCAGGAGGCCTGCGTCTAAGCAGGCCTATTCTCCCCAAGGCCCCCAGTATGCCAGCGCTCCGGGGAGAGGGGATCATGGGCTGAGGGAGGGTGTGGGGTACACCTGCCCTGCCCCAACGGCACGAAGGAAGACTTGAGGTGATTTGGCTCCTGCATCAGCTTTAGAACAGAGAGGGACTCCTGGGACATGGAGGAGAGAGCAGGTGTTGACCAGCCACTGACCAAGCAATCAGGACTTGGGGGGTCTCCGGTTAGCCTTGAATGTGGGATCCCTGCCCTGGAGGGAGAGAGCTATTCTCTCAGAGAAAGCACATGGCCGCCCATAGCCACGACCACACAAAATCAGACTCTGTGACCCAGCCTGTCCATTCCTCTTCCCTTGTATGCCCACCCCTACCCTGCAGACTGGCTCCTGTTCTAGACCATATGCAGGTCCCAGGGAGAGGCACGTAGCACATGGGTATGGGGAAAGGCCTGAGCATTAGGCCCCAGCTGGCAGCTGCCATCCCTAGCCCCTCACTATGAAGGGCTTGGGGTGACTGCCTGCAGCATCTAGCTGGCCCTGCAGAGCCCATTGACCAGTGCTTTTTGTCCCCATATGTGTAACCTGCATTCCCAGATGATCCAACCCTCTTGCCCTTCAAGAAGGGGGACTTGCTGGTGTTGATGGAGAAGCAGGGACAGCAGGCCTCTGACAAGTGGACTTTGGTTCAGAGTAACAGGCTAGGACGGACCGGCCTGGTGCCCACGGCCTGTCTCTACATCATCCCGACCGTCGTCCAGCCCTCGGAGCGGCTGCTGGTAAAGGAAGCCCACTCTCACACAGCCCAGCCTGGGCCCAACTGAGAGCCACCGCGGGGGCCTGTGCCCTACCTTGCCGAGAACAGGGGCCCCTCGATCAGCAGACTGGGCCACTCCACGGCCCCACGCATCCCTAGGGGTTCTCAGGATCCTGGCACAGACTGTGTTTGGGCACTACCCCACACCATGCTCTCCATTTAGTGGGTATTCCATCATGGGAGTCCCCTCCCTTCTCTCCCACCCAAGAGGCAAGCCATCTTCTTCCCAGCCTTGGCCTCATTTAAACTGTCTCCCAGCCACCGTGTCCCCAGCCCAGCTTTCAGACTGTACCACGTGGAAATGGGCCAGCATCCAGCCAGTGCACGTTGATCACCTGCTGTGTGTCTGGCGCCTGCCAAGCAGAGTTGAGCATGGCAGCGTTGCAACGATGACCGATTCTTTGTCCTCCTGCAGACTCCTTCCCTAAAAAGACACTGGCTGTGGGCGCAAAGAGCAGGGCGGGGGCTTGTATGGAGGGAGGGCTCTTTCGGCTGAGACCTGAACCTGAAGGAGGGGGCACAAAGCAACAGGAAGAGATCAGAGATGCCCCTGAGGAGAGGTGCTCTGGTGTCTGAGGAACCCACAGGGACTGTCCCCCTCACAGGGTGGTCGGGCTTCCAACCCGTTATCACGAAGCCCCCTAAGAGGAAGGACATGGGCTCAGAGAGACTGAGCCCGTGGTAGCTCCGGAGGCTCTTCCCCTGCCAGAGGCCTCCAGGCCAACAGGGAAGAAGGGTCTCAGGGGCAGTGGATCCTGAGTGCCCAAGCTGTCCCCCTACAGAGCCTGCTGGCCATGTCCCCTGAGAAGCGGAAGCTGGCGGGCCGACAGGGACGGCCTGCAGACGTCTTGCCTGAAGAGCAGCCTCAGGAGAAGCCGCACACTCTGGAGGAATTTTCTCAGCAATTCTTCAGGTGCCGGTTCGGGCTGAGCGCTCCCAGGGGCCCGGGAGGCCATAGCAAATGGTGTTGCGGGAGCCAAGAGGGGTTTGGAGAGGGGGGACCCCTGAGCCCAGGGCAACTCTCCCCACAGCAGCCCCAAGAGGTCTGAGGTAGTGACACACCTTACAAAGGAGCCCCGTGAGCATGAGCGCAGGGGCCACAGTCCCGGGGAGCGCTGCTTGGCCTGGGTCTCTCTCCACACTGTGTTTTACCAACGGGGAGAAGCTGGGCAGAAGAGGAGCCACGGGAGAGGAGCTACAAGTGGTCCTCATGCTTGGCCTCCATCCTGACCAGGGCCCCAGAAAAGGAGACAATCAGCAAAGCCACGATGTCCTGGGCCTCGACCAGGGGCCACCTGTGGACCCATTCTTCTGAGCCCTTGCGGCAGCCACTGCTCAAGTCTGTCCATGCCATTGCCGACCTTTGGGACATCGCCTACCAGACCTTTGTCGATATCCTTCCCAGCGAGAACTGCCACCAGGCCTGGGCCCTGCACCTCCACCTTGTCCCCAGAGCTGCCCTGCCAGGGGGCTGGCTTCACAGAAGAGTCTGCCCGTAGCTCACTGTGGGAGTGTGCATGCATCCGTGTGGGGCCAGGGTCAAGTAGTAGTGTGAGGTCAAAGGGGGTTAGTGTGGGGTCAGGGTCAAGGGTGATGTGAGGCTGGGGCATAGGTCAATGTGGGTCTGGTGTCAGAGGTCAGCGCAGCTCTGATTGGAGGGGCCGGATGATGGGTTAGTGAGAAGCCAGTGTGGAGCCAAGGTCAGAGGTCAAGGTCTAGCTGAGCGTCAGCAGATCAGCTTAGCGTCAGAGTCAGGTCAATGTGGGGCCATGTCACTCAGCTGGAGTGTAAGGTTTCAAATCCTTCTTCGGGGTCCACCCCACAGCTCAGGGCTCCTTGACCGCGTCACCCATCCTCAAGTACATGGGCGACTACCCCTCCCGACAGTCCTGGTCCTCTGTGGAGCTCACGGACCAGATCTTCTCCGCGGCCCTCCAGGAGGTGGTCTTACAGGACGAGGTCTACTGCCAGATCCTGAAGCAGCTGACGAACAACTCCAACAGGTTGCTGGGCACTGGGGCCACAGTGGGCTGTCTGACATGCCCCGTCCTGGCAGGCTGGGCCCATCGCTGGACGGGGAATGGCAATTCCTGGAGGCTAAACCGCTTGTGTGGGGTCTTCACAGTAGCAGCAGGAAGGGCTGGAGGCTGGGTCTTCCCTGAAGACTCCCCCCACCAGGAAAAGACCCCTAAAGTCTGCTCCCTCCCCGCCTCTGAGCACAGTGTACTCCCAAAGGGACCAGGGTGTTCTGGGCCAGGTTCCCACTGTGCCCCCTCTCTCGTGGGACTCGGGGACGATGGCTCTGGGACACTCGGTGTTCTCCACCAAATGGGCCCTTAGCTCCTCCGCAGCCCACATGAGGTTGTGGGCATGGAAGCCCTCTGGGGTGTTGAGCAGTGGCCGGCACAGTGCGGCCTTCCCTGGGCCCAGTGCCTCTTCACCCTGGCCACCTTCCCCTGCCCAAGACGCCCCACAGCTTCAGGACAGGTCTCACGACTCAGTCCCCAAGCTGGGCTGGCCTCGGCCCCATGAGGGAGCTCTTCAGGCTGACAGGTCCTCCCCCCCACCCACCCACCCCCCGACTCCCCAGGCACAGTGAGGAGCGAGGCTGGCAGCTCCTATGGCTCTGCACGGGCCTCTTCCCACCCAGCAAGGTGCTGCTACCCCACGCCCAGAAGTTCGTGGACACTCGGAGGAAGAAGCTGCTGGCCCCTGACTGTAGTCGTCGCATCCAGAGGATTCTAAGGTGAGCCTGTCCCTCACCAGACGACAGGGCTGGGGTCAGCAGTGCCCCCCCTTCCCCCACCCCAGTGGGGTGACTCTGGTCTGGGTGACGGGTGGGGGAGTGGGCATGCCCGCTCCAGAACCTGGCATTGGTGTGGGGAGGCAGGAGGGAGGCAGGCAGAAGGTGAGGTCCAGGGGCTTATAGGCCGTGGTCAAGCAGGCTGTCAGCAGACCCGGTCACAGCCTCATACTGCTTGTTCATATCCAGAAGGAACGATCTGGAGGCCAGACTATCTGGGGCCAGTACACCCCACGCCATCCGTCTTTCCATCCCAGTCCCAGACAAGGGCAGCCACGGTCAGGGGCCCTCTCCTTGTCCACCATATCGCTCCCAGAGCCTCTCGCCTCTGCTGGTGCAGCCTCCCACAGCCCTACAGAGCACACGGCCATGTCACCCAGCCAATGGCTTCATGGCAGCCTTGACCATGCAGAGGGAAAGGGCGCCCAGCCGGAGTCCCCATCCCTTCCTGATGCCCCTGGCGTGCGGTACCAAGAACACAAATCAACCCAAGGACATCCATCCTCCTCCTATCTACCGAGACCCTCCACCCACCCCCCCACACCCCCAGGAGCCAGCCTGTGTCCCTTTGCCTTGTCTGAGATTCACGTGTGCTGAGCACCCTGGCACGGGATCCCTAGGTTATTCCATGATCGATTTCTCACGCAGAGCTGGAAAGTCCCCTTCCGTATCAAGCAGATGAAGAGTGAAAGCCGTCCCACCCACCCCCGCCCCACACAGCGCGCACACACCCCTGAAGACCGGGACTCAGCAGGTGGGAGTGGGACGGGCAGGGTGGGGTTCAGCACGTCCTGTCCTGTTCCAGGTTGGGGCCCCGGAAGCAACCCCCACATCAGGTGGAGGTGGAGGCCGCAGAGCAGAACATCACCCGAATTCGCCACAAAGTCTGCTTCCCCAATGACACCAGTGAGGTACGGCCCCACGCCCTCCACGTGGACATCCACCCTCTAGGTTGAGCCACGCCAGGGTCTCTGCAGGCGCTACCACCCCCCACCCTGCTCTGACCGATGTCCCAAAGAACGCGGAGGAACGTGGGATCAGCATGGGACACTTCCCAGCAGGGACTCCCTTTTGTCCTTCTCCTGTCCCCTCCACTTCTCCTGAGAAGCGGCTCCCACAGACCTGACCTCAGGCCCCTGGCTGCGCTGGGCAGGTGCAGGCTCTGGGGCTGGCCCACAGCCCTGCTGTCCTGCCCCCAGACATGTAGGAGCCGCTTAGGGGGGCTGGGAGGTCTCCGGAGGCAAAAGCAAAGACTCCCCAGAGGCATGCATTGGTCTTTCCAGCCTGGGGGCACAGCACATCCAGGAGAAAGGGGGGCCGGGAGGGTGGGTAGTAAGGGTGGGTAGTAAGGCCCCTGGGCCCAAGGGACTTCAGAACCTGTCTACGGCACAGGGAACAGGAATGGCAGTGCAGGGTGTCGCCTGTGGGCAGAGCCCCCGGGGACCAGGGCTGAGAGGGTGGAGGAGCCGACTGGGAGGTAGAAGACCCTTCTGCACCAGGGAGGAGGCGTGAGGAAACAGCCAGGGGGCTGACATGGCGACACTGCCCTCAGCCCACCCGAGCAGCATGTGACCCTTTGTCGCCTCAGCGACTGTGTTAGTCTGGGTACTTTGGAGAAACAAATCCACAGCAACTCATGTATAAGAAAGAGTTTTATGTAAAGAAAGTGTGCATCACGAAAACATCCCAACCCAATGCTGCCCAAGCCCACAAGTCCAACATGAACCCATTAACCCAACACCAGTCCACAAAGTCCTCCACCTCACAAAACAGAGGCAATGATGCCGACTGCAGGAGGAAAGCTGAGTGAGTGAACGAATAAGCATCTCAGCACGAGCAGGGGTCTCCACACGGCTGCTCCAGCAGCCAGGGCTACATCGGGATAGGTCCATGTGGCTTCTCCTTGGGGATGTCTTGTAGGAAGTCAATCTTGCAAGCTGAATCAGGGACTTGCTAAGGCAGCTGCACCCTGGTGCGACCATCACAAAACAAGAGACCCGCGAACTAGAAAGGCGAGGCTCACCACCTATTTATCCCTCCGCCTTTCAATTAGCCCCACATGTGATTATCGGCCAGGCTGGCACAATTAACTAACTCAGCGACATTCAAGTCCTGTACTCTAATCATCGCCGCAGTCTGCCTGCAGGACTCTCAGAGCAAGTGAGGAGACCTGGCCAATCTCTACAAGGGGGTGGGGTCTTGGCATCCTTGGCAGACTGTTGGCCAACCAGGGCCTTAGCAAGCAGCGCCCCTGTCAGGCTGTGCCTTGCTCTGGAGAGAGCCACTTGGGGGCACCCTGGGCGGCGCCGACTCTTGAGGCCTCTCTGCGCAGATGATGGAGGTGGGTACCAGCTCGCGGGTGCGGGACGTCTGCCAGAGCATCACCGCCAAGCTGCAGTTAGCCTCCTGGGAGGGTTGCAGCCTCTTTGTCAAGATCGCAGATAAGGTATGCCTGGCTGTGGATGGGGAGGCAGGCCCTTCGAGGTGGGCCCTGGCTGCGGAACTCAGCCAGAGGCAGGGAGAGTGGGGGACCCAGAGCCCAGCTTCCCACTTCCTGATAAAGGTCTGCCCAAAGTGGCATTTGATCCCCGCGGTGGTAGATGGGCCTGGCGAGGCCCAGCCCTTGCCAAGCCCTTCGTGAAGGCAGCTCTATTCACCCCCTGGCCTGGCCCCCACCCCCACCCCAGGTCTTCAGCCAGAAGGAAGAAGACTTCTTCTTTGATTCCCTGAGACATGTGTCTGACTGGGTGAAGAAGAACAAGCCCCAGAAAGAAGGTGAAGAGGGGTTGCTGTGGGGTAGGGCCGGGGAGGGGGAGAACAAGAGGGGATGCCTGCCTCTCTGGGGAGAGCCCACTCTCTTCTTCCTCCCAGCATTACCTTGCAATCAGGCTCAACCTCTGTCCTTATTCAGGCCTGTTCCTGGGACGAGTCAGCCCCAGAGACCTCACGTGTGGCTCTCATGCCCATTCATTGATTCATTCATTCACGCCTCTGTAGTTGCCCTGGGTGACGGAGTGTAGTCAGGCCCTGGTGCCAGGCAGGGAAGGCACAGGTGTGACACCCAGGAGTACTCAGCTTAGACAGGGGCAGAGTATGGGGATAGGCCCAAGACAGATGCCGTCTTTCAGGGTAATCAGGGTACACAGCTGGAACCCTAGTGGTATAATGGGGTCTGCCCTGGTCGGCAGTTCAAAACCACCAGCCACACCAAGGGACTTTCTACTCCCATAGAGCTACAGCCTCAGAAACCCACAGGGGCAGTTCT